TTGTCATTGATTTCGTTTGATGTTCATGAAGATGTCCAATGTTAATTTGATCATATTAATTTTTGAATCTCTGAACAAGTTTTGGTTTTGGTGATTTGAAGAATGGGGTTTTGAACTATTGTTATTTTCTATAAATTTCTACATTTATATATGCTATATCTAGATGATGTGATGTAATGGAGTTTTAATGAAGTGAGTTAAATGCAATGAGCTTTTTCGAAAATTTTGTGCAATTTTATGTGTATGGCTGGATGAATAGTGTGTTTTGAATGAAGATTTGACAAGTGAGTATTTTCATGTCTGTATTAGGATGAAAGGAGGGCAAATCAGAATAAGATCTAGGGGTAAAGAGTTGTCTTTGTGCTGCTATGCTCTTGTGATAGTGCTACGCCTGATTCCTGATATAAGACAGAAACATGAGCTGCTTAGCTTGATTTTTTTACAAGTTATCTTCTTTATTAATTGATGTAAATCACTGAAGAAAGAAGGAGGATTGGGTGCAATCTAACCTCTTCCTTGATAGTTTGGGTTTCTGTCATGGCAACTGTAGAAATGTTGTCTGTATCCTTGAGACTTTTGTCTTCAGTTAGGATTTTCTCAATATTACTGCTTCCATCAATCTTTTGGATTTCCACTGACTTTTGTTTACCAAAAAAAAAGGGATTCAACTTATGGGAAGAGACTAGCGAGAAAAGAGCAAGATGAATAAAGTTAATTCCTCCTTACTTACCTCTTCAATTTGAATATCTTTTGCTATGGTTTTAAATGTTGCATTGTTCTCCTTAGCACCTAAAAATCCATCCTTTAGTTGATCTTCTCAGTCGCTAGTTTTCATTGTTTTAAATACGTGAATAGTATGTTAGTGGAGGTCATTGTTCCTTTTTTTCTTATTCAATTTGTTTGTCTTGAGGTAATTTAAATAATGTTTTAAAAGATTAAAATTGTTAACTTTGACTTTATTAAATTTAAATAATAATTAGAAGAAGATGATTTAATAGAGAAATTCAATTTTAAATACATAGTATTTTAAAATATCCAAACTATGTATTTAAAAATACATGTATTTAAAATTCATTTTTTTTAATTCAATCCAAACAATGTATTTTAAAATACATATATTTTAATTACACTTTTCACAATCAAATTCAAGTTTCCAAACACAACCTAAATGAAGAAACATGTAATTCGATTTCAAATTAATCAGATTTAATATGTCTTTCAGATTCCAAAAGATTAATACAAAAAAA